CCATATATGGAAAGGGCGGGGGGGAGGAGCCTCCGATATAATGACTAGGAAGGGGGCGTGGCCTCCCCTTCCCATATATGGAAGTGGGCGGAGCTTCCTCCCATATAAGGCCTAGGAAGGGGTCATGGCCTCCCATATATGGAAAGGGTGGGTGGAGCCTCCTCCCCTATAAGGCCTAGGGAAAGGGGGCGTGGCCTCCCATATATGGAAAGGGAGGGGGCGGAGCCTCCCCCCATGTAAAGACTAGGAAGGGGGCTTGGCCTCCTCCCATATATGGAAGTGGGCGGAGCTTCCTCCCATATAAAGCGGGGGGGGGGCATGTCCTCCTATTCCCATATATGGAAGTGGGCGGAGCCTCCTCCCATATAAAGACTGAGAAGGGGGTGTTCCTCCCATATATGGAAAGGGGGTGGGCCCTTCTCCCATATAAGGGATAGGAAGGGAGGCGTGGCCATATATGGAAGTGGGCGGAGCTTCCTCCCATATAAAGACTGGGAAGGGTGGGGGGCGTGTCTTCCTATTCCCATATATGGAACTGGGCGGAGCTTACTCCCATATAAGGACTATGAAGGGGGCACGGCCTCCGATATATGGAAAGTGGGTGGAGCCTCCTCCCATGTATGGAAGTGGGCGGAGCTTCCTCCCATATAAAGACTGGGAAGGGGGTGTGGCCTGCTCCCATATAAGGACAGAGAAGGGGGCGTGGCCTCCTCCTCCCATATATGGAAGCGGGCGGAGCTTCCTCCCATATAAAGCATGGGGGGGGGGGCATGTCCTCCTCCTCCCATATATGGAAGTGGGCGGAGCTCCCTCCAATATATAGCATGGGAAGGGGGGGGGGGGGGCGTGTCCGCCTCCTTCCATATAAGGCAAGGGGGGGGGGGGGGCATGTCCTCCTCCTCCTCTTTCCATATAAGGATGTGTGGTTGGGGTGGGGGGGGGCGTGTCCTCCTTCCATATAAGGCAGTGGGGATGGGATGTGGGCGTGTCCTCCTCCCATATAAGGCGGGGGGGGGGGGCATGTCCTCCTCCTTCCCCATATAAGGCAGTGGGGGTGTGTCCTCCTCCTCCTTCTTCCATATAAGGCAGTGGGGTTGGGGTTGGGGTGGGGTCGTGTCCTCCTCCTCCTCCCATATAAGGCAGTGTGGGGATGTGGGCGTGTCCTCCTCCTCCTTCCATATAAGGCAGTGGGGGGGGAGTGTCCTCCTCCTCTTTCCATATAAGGCAGTGGGGTTGGGGTGGGGGGGGGGGGTGTCCTCCTCCTCCCATATAAGGCAGTGGGGTTGGGGTTGGGGGCGTGTCCTCCATATAAGGCAATGGGGGGGGGGGGGGCGTGTCCTCCTTCCATATAAGGCAGTGGGGATGGGATGTGGGCGTGTCCTCCTCCTCCTCCCATATAAGGCAGTGGGGTTAGGGTTAGGGTTGGGGGGGGCGTGTCCTCCTCCTCCCATATAAGGCCGTGGGGGGGGGGCGTGTCTTCCTCCTTCCATATAAGGCAGTGTGGGGTTGGGGGGGCGTGTCCTCCTCCTCTTCCTCCTTGCCATATAAGGCAGTGGGCGGCGCTAGACGCGCGGCAGCAGCGAGCGCTGGCAGCGGAGCAGGCGTTTGGGCGCCCCCTTGCGGCGCCACAGCAGCACCGCGGCCGCCAACGCCAGCGCCGCCCCCCCCAGGAGGACCAATGGCGGCGCCAGGGCGGAAGGGGCGGGGCCGACCTCGATGACGATCACCTCCTCCTCCTCGTCGTCGCTGACGTCATCGGGAGGCGACGGTTCCGATTGGTCGGGTCCTTCGCAAGCCAACCAATCGCGGAGGGCGGATTTGGGGTAGCCCGGAGCGACGCGGAGGAGGCGGTTGTCGAAGAGCCAATAGCGGCCGGCCTTGTAGAAGTAGGTGACGGCTGATGGGGTTATAAGGGGGTTATTATGGGATGGAATGGGGTGATAATGGGGTTCAATGGGGTTTAATGGGGTTCAATGGGGTTTAATGGGGTTATAATGGGGTTCAATGGGGTTCAATGGGGTTTAATGGGGTTATAATGGGGTTCAATGGGGTTATAATGGGGTTCAATGGGGTTATAATGGGGTTTAATGGGGTTATAATGGGGTTCAATGGGGTTTAATGGGGTTATAATGGGGTTTAATGGGGTTTAATGGGGTTCAATGGGGTTTAATGGGGTTCAATGGGGTTATAATGGGGTTTAATGGGGTTATAATGGGGTTCAATGGGGTTTAATGGGGTTATAATGGGGTTATAATGGGGTTCAATGGGGTTATAATGGGGTTCAATGGGGTTATAATGGGGTTCAATGGGGTTGAATGGGGTTCAATGGGGTTATAATGGGGTTCAATGGGGTTATAATGGGGTTCAATGGGGTTATAATGGGGTTCAATGGGGTTATAATGGGGGGTAATGGGGTTCAATGGGGTTTAATGGGGTTCAATGGGGTTATAATGGGGTTCTATGGGGTTCAATGGGGTTTAATGGGGTTCAATGGGGTTATAATGGGGTTTAATGGGGTTTAATGGGGTTCAATGGGGTTATAATGGGGTTCAATGGGGTTTAATGGGGTTATAATGGGTTATAATGGGGTTCAGTGGAGTTCAATGGGGTTATAATGGGGTTCAATGGGGTTATAATGGGGTTCAATGGGGTTTAATGGGGTTCAATGGGGTTTAATGGGGTTCAATGGGGTTATAATGGGGTTCAATGGGGTTTAATGGGGTTCAATGGGGTTATAATGGGGTTCAATGGGGTTATAATGGGGTTATAATGGGGTTCAATGGGGTTCAATGGGGTTCTAATGGGGTTCAATGGGGTTATAATGGGGTTATAATGGGGTTCAATGGGGTTATAATGGGGTTATAATGGGGTTATAATGGGGTTTAATGGGGTTCAATGGGGTTTAAATGGGGATTCAATGGGGTTATAATGGGGTTATAATGGGTTATAATGGGGTTATAATGGGTTATAATGGGGTATAATGGGGTTATAATGGGGTTATAATGGGGTTATAATGGGGTACAATGGGGTTATAATGGGGTTATAATGGGGTTCAATGGGGTTATAATGGGGTTTAATGGGGTTTAATGGGGTTCAATGGTGTTCAATGGGGTTTAATGGGGTTTAATGGGGTTCAATGGGGTTATAATGGGGTTCAATGGGGTTATAATGGGGTTTAATGGGGTTATAATGGGGTTATAATGGGGTTTAATGGGGTTTAATGGGGTTCAATGGGGTTATAATGGGGTTCAATGGGGTTAATGGGGTTCAATGGGGTTAATGGGGTCAATGGGGTTTAATGGGGTTATAATGGGGTTCAATGGGGTTATAATGGGGTTATAATGGGGTTCAATGGGGTTCAATGGGGTTCAATGGGGTTATAATGGGGTTCAATGGGGTTATAATGGGGTTCAATGGGGTTTAATGGGGTTCAATGGGGTTCAATGGGGTTTAATGGGGTTATAATGGGGTTCAATGGGGTTCAATGGGGTTTAATGGGGTTCAATGGGGTTATAATGGGGTTCAATGGGGTTATAATGGGGTTCAATGGGGTTATTATGGGATGGAATGGGGTTATAATGGGGTTCAATGGGGTTATAATGGGGTTCAATGGGGTTATAATGGGGTTTAATGGGGTTATAAGGCGGTTATAAGGGGGTTCAATGGGGTTCAATGGGGGTTATGGGGTTCAATGGGGTTATAATGGGGTTATAATGGGGTTTAATGGGGTTCAATGGGGTTCAATGGGGTTATAATGGGGTTATAATGGGGTTCAATGGGGTTATAATGGGGTTCAATGGGGTTCAATGGGGTTATAATGGGGTTCAATGGGGTTATAATGGGGTTCAATGGGGTTATAATGGGGTTCAATGGGGTTCAATGGGGTTATAATGGGGTTTAATGGGGTTCAATGGGGTTCAATGGGGTTTAATGGGGTTCAATGGGGTTCAATGGGGTTATAATGGGGTTCAATGGGGTTCAATGGGGTTCAATGGGGTTATAATGGGGTTCAATGGGGTTCAATGGGGTTATAATGGGGTTCAATGGGGTTATAATGGGGTTATAATGGGGTTATAATGGGGTTCAATGGGGTTTAATGGGGTTCAATGGGGTTCAATGGGGTTAGAATGGGGTTCAATGGGGTTCAATGGGGTTATAATGGGGTTCAATGGGGTTATAATGGGGTTCAATGGGGTTCAATGGGGTTCAATGGGGTTATAATGGGGTTATAATGGGGTTCAATGGGGTTCAATGGGGTTATAATGGGGTTCAATGGGGTTCAATGGGGTTCAATGGGGTTATAATGGGGTTCAATGGGGTTTAATGGGGTTCAATGGGGTTATAATGGGGTTCAATGGGGTTTAATGGGGTTATAATGGGGTTCAATGGGGTTCAATGGGGTTCAATGGGGTTCAATGGGGTTATAATGGGGTTCAATGGGGTTCAATGGGGTTATAATGGGGTTCAATGGGGTTCAATGGGGTTCAATGGGGGGCAATGGGGGGCAATGGGGTTCAATGGGGGGCAGTGGGGTTCAATGGGGTTCAATGGGGGGCAATGGGGTTCAATGGGTTATAATGGGGGGGCCATAGCCGCCCCATGGTACCCCCTTGGTCCTATGGGGCCCATAAAGGCCCCACTGGGGGCCTCGGGGACCCCGCCCCACACCTCGATGCTCTTGGGGTAATCGGGGTCCACGGAGCGGGTGTCCTCGTTGAACCTATAGTACCTATGGGGCAGGGGGGGCAGAGGGGGCTATGGGGCGCCATTGGGGGCTATGGGGCGCCATTGGGGGCTATGGGGTCAATGGGGCGCTATGGGGTGCCATTGGGGGCTATGGGGTCAATGGGGGGCTATGGGGTCAATGGGGGGCCATTGGGGGCTATGGGGCCGCCATGGGGGGCTATGGGGGCCAATGGGGGCTATGGGGCAATGGGGGCTATGGGGTGCAATGGGGGGCTATGGGGTGCCTATGGGGGCTATGGGGTCATGGGGGCTATGGGGGGCTATGGGGTCAATGGGGGGCTATGGGGCTATGCCGCCATGGGGGGCATGGGGCACCATTGGGGGCTATGGGGTCAATGGGGCGCCTATAGGGGCTATGGGGCGCCATTGGGGGGCTATGGGGCAGGGGGGGCAGAGGGGGCTATGGGGCACCATGGGGGGCTATGGGGTCAATGGGGGGCTATGGGGTCAATGGGGGGCTATGGGGGGTTATGGGGCGCCATTGGGGGCTATGGGGTCAATGGGGGGCTATAGGGCTCTATAGGGCGCTATGGGGTCAATGGGGGGCTATGGGGTGCCATTGGGGGCTATGGGGTCAATGGGGGGCTATGGGGGGCTATGGGGGTCAATGGGGCACCATTGGGGGCTATGGGGTCAATGGGGGGCTATGGGGCGCCATTGGGGGCTATGGGGTCAATGGGGGGCTATGGGGCGCCATTGGGGGCTATGGGGCACCATTGGGGCCTATGGGGTCAATGGGGGGCTATGGAGGGCTATGGGGCGCCATTGGGGGCTATGGGGTCAATGGGGGTCAATGGGGGTCAATGGGGTCATTGGGGTCAATGGAGGTCAATGGGGTCAATGGGGTCATTGGGGTCAATGGGGTCAATGGGGGTCAATGGGGTCATTGGGGCTCCAATGGGGTCAATGGGGTCATTGGGGTCAATGGGGTCAATGGGGGTCAATGGGGTCATTGGGGTCAATGGGGCTCCAATGGGGTCAATGGGGGTCAATGGGGTCAATGGGGTCAACGGGGGTCAATGGGGTCAATGGGGGTCAATGGGGCGCCATTGTTATCAATGGGAGCGCAATTGAGGTCCTGGCAGCTCCATAAAGGGCCCCAGTAGCCCCATAGCGGCCCCTTTAAGGTCCTAGAAGGTGCATAGAGGCCCCATAGAGGTCACAGTAGCCCCATAGAGGCCACATTAAGGTCCTAGAAGGTGCATAGAGGCCCCATAGAGGTCCCAGTAGCCCCATAGAGGCCCCATAAAGGTCCTAGAAGGTGCATAGAGGCCCCATAGAGGTCACAGTAGCCCCATAGCGGCCCCATAAAGGTCCTAGAAGGTGCATAGAGGCCCCATAGAGGTCACAGTAGCCCCATAGCGGCCCCTTTAAGGTCCTAGAAGGTGCATAGAGGCCCCATAGAGGTCACAGTAGCCCCATAGCGGCCCCATAAAGGTCCTAGAAGGTGCATAGAGGCCCCATAGAGGTCCCGGTAGCCCCATAGAGCCCCCATTAAGGCCCTAGAAGGTGCATAGAGGCCCCATAGAAGCCCCAAGAAGGTCCTGGAAGGTGCATAGAGGCCCCATAGCGGTCCTGGTAGCCCCATAGAGGCCCCATTAAGGTCCTAGAAGGTGCATAGAGGCCCCATAGAAGCCCCAAGAAGGTCCTGGAAGGTGCATAGAGGCCCCATAGAGATCCCGGTAGCCCCATAGAGCCCCCATTAAGGTCCTAGAAGGTGCATAGAGGCCCCATAGAGGTCCCAAGAAGGTCCTGGAAGGTGCATAGAGGCCCCATTAAGGTCCTGGCAGGTGCATAGAGGCCCCATAGAGGTCCCAGAAGCCCCATAGAGGTCCTGGCAGGTGCATAGAGGCCCCCAGCAGGTCCCAGAAGGTCCATAGAAGGTCCCAGAAGCCCACTGAAGGTCCCGGAAGGTGCATAAAGGCCCCATAAAGACCCCATAGAGGCCCCCAGAAGGTCCCGGAAGGTGCATAAAGGCCCCATAGAGCTCCTGGAAGGTGCATAAAGGACCCATAAAGACCCCATAGAGCCCGTTTAGGTCCTGGCAGGTGCATAGAGGTCCCATAGACACCCCATAGAGCCCCCATAGACCCCCATAGAGCCCCCATAAACCCCCATAGAGACCCCAGAGAGGCCCCATTAGGTCCTGGAAGCTGCATAAAGGCCCCATAGACCCCCTTAGAGCCCCATAGAAACCCTATAGAAACCCCATAGACCCCCCATAGACCCCACATAGAGACCTATAGAGCCCCATAGAAACCCCATAGACCCCCATAGACCCCCCACAGACCCCAATAGACACCCCATAGACACCCCATAGCCCCCCATAGACACCCCATAGACCCCCATAGCCACCCCATAGCCCCCCATAGACCCCCATAGACCCATAGACCCCATAGACACCCCATAGACCCCCATAGACCCCCATAGACCCCCATAGACACCCCATAGACCCCCATAGACCCCCATAGACACCCCATAGACCCCCATAGAAAACCCATAGACCCCCATAGACCCCATAGACCCCCCCCCATAGAACCCCACAGACCCCCATAGCCCCCCATAGCCCCCCATAGACCCCCATAGACCCCCCATAGCCCCCCATAGACCCCCATAGACCCCCCATAGACCCCCCATAGACACCCCCACCCCATAGACCCCCATAGACACCCCATAGACCCCCATAGACCCCCCATAGACCCCCATAGACTCCCATAGCCCCCCATAGACCCCCCATAGACCCCCATAGACCCCCATAGACCCCCATAGACCCCCCCATAGCCCCCCATAGACCCCCATAGACCCCCATAGACCCCCATAGACCCCCATAGCCCCCCATAGACACCCCATAGACCCCCATAGACACCCCATAGACCCCCATAGACCCCCATAGACCCCCATAGACCCCCATAGACCCCATAGACACCCCATAGAGACACCCCATAGAGCCCCATAGACCCCCATAGAGCCCCATAGACACCCCATAGACCCCCATAGACCCCCATAGACACCCCATAGACCCCCATAGACCCCCATAGACCCCCATAGACACCCCATAGACCCCCATAGACCACCCATAGACACCCCATAGACCCCCATAGACCCCCATAGACCCCCATAGACCCCCATAGACACCCCATAGACACCCCATAGAGCCCCATAGACCCCCATAGACATAGACCCCCATAGACCCCCCATAGACACCCCATAGACACCCCATAGACCCCCCACAGACCCCCATAGACACCCCATAGACCCCCATAGACACCCATAGACCCCCGTAGACCCCCATAGACCCCCATAGACCCCCATAGACACCCATAGACACCCCATAGCGCCCCATAGCGCCCCATAGCGCTCACTTGTTGCCCCGGAAGAGGTAGGTGGTGCCGCTGGGCAGCCATTGCAGGGCCGCATCCAGGCCATCGCTGGGCACCCCCCGGCCCAGCTCCCGCAGCGCCCGCGGGTACCCGGGCTCTAGGGAGGCCTCCGAGAAGACCCAGTGCCGGTCACCTATGGGGGGGGACACATTGAGAGCCATTGGGACACATAGAGACCCATAGAGACCCCATTGGGACCCATAGAGACCCATTGGAACCCCATAGAGAGACATTGGGACCCATAGAGACCCCATTGGGACCCATAGGGACCCATTGGGACCCATAGGGACCCATAGAGACCCATTGGGACGCATAGAGACACATAGAGACCCCATAGAAACCCCATAGCAACCCCATAGAGACCCATAGGGACCCCATAGGGACCCCATAGAGACCCATAGAGACCCATAGAGACCCCAGAGAGACCCATAGAAACCCCATAGAGACCCATAGAGACCCCATAGAGACCCATAGAAACCCATAGAGACCCATAGAGACCCCATAGAGACCTCATAGAGACCCATAGAGCCCCATAGAGACCCCATAGAAACCCCATAGAGACCCATAGAGACCCCATAGAGACCCATAGAAACCCCATAGAGACCCATAGAGACCCATAGAAACCCCATAGAAACCCCATAGAGACCCATAGAAACCCCATAGAAACCCCATAGAGACCCATAGAAACCCCATAGAAACCCCATAGAGACCCCATAGAAACCCCATAGAGACCCATAGAGACCCATAGAAGCCCCATAGAAACCCATAGAGACCCATAGAAACCCCATAGAGACCCATAGAAACCCCAGAGACCCCATAGAGACCCATAGAGACCCATAGAGACCCCATAGAAACCCCATAGAGACCCATAGAAACCCCATAGAAACCCATAGAGACCCATAGAGACCCCATAGAAACCCATAGAGACCCATAGAGACCCCATAGAGACCCATAGAGACCCCATAGAGACCCATAGAAACCCCATAGAGACCCATAGAGACCCATAGAGACCCATAGAGACCCCATAGAGACCCATAGCGCCCCACAGCGCACCTTTGAAGAAGACAAACTTGCCATCGCGGCGCTCGTAGGCGGCACTGATGCTGGGGGGGAGCCCGGCCCAGAAGTGGCCAATGGGGAGCGGGTACCCCTCGAGCACCCGGCGCTCCCGCACCCTCCAGAACCAGCGTTCCTGCAGCGACAGCAACGAAACGGTCAGAAACGGGCCCAAAACGACCCCAAAATGCTCGAAAACGGCCGGAAATGACCCCAAAATGGTCGAAAACGCCAAAAAAATGGCTAGAAACGGGCAAAAAATGGCCAGAAACGGTCAAAAAATGGCCAGAAATGACCCAGAAATGGACGAAAACGGCCAGAAATTACCCAGAAACGGGCGAAAATGACCCCAAAATGGTTGAAAATGGCCAGAAATGACCCAAAAATGGTCGAAAAGGCCAAAAAGGGATAGAAACAGTCCAAAAATGGCCAAAAAAGACCCAGAAATGGACGAAAACGGCCAGAAATGACCCAGAAACGGGTAAAAACGGGCGAAAATGACCCAAAAATGCTCAAAAACGGCCAGAAATGACCCCAAAATGGTCAAAAACGCAAAAAAAAATGGACAGAAACGTTCAAAAAATGGCCAGAAATGACCCAGAAATGGTTGAAAATGGCCAGAAATGACCCAAAAGTGGACAGAAACGGTCAGAAAATGGCCAGAAAGGACCCAAAAATGCTCGAAAACGGGCAAAAACGGACAAAAGCGACCTAGAAATGGCCAAAAACGGGCGAAAGTGACCCAAAAATGCTCGAAAACGGCCGGAAATGACCCCAAAATGGTCGAAAACGCAAAAAAAAATGGATAGAAACGGGCAAAAAATGGCCAGAAACGGGCAAAAAATGGCCAGAAATGACCCCAAAATGGTTGAAAATGGCCAGAAATGACCCAAAGATGGTTGAAAATGGCCAGAAACGACACCAAAATGCTCGAAAACGGCCAGAAACGACCCCAAAATGGTCGAAAACGCCAAAAAATGGATAGAAACGGGCAAAAGAAGCCCAGAAATGGTCAAAAAATGGCCAGAAATGACACAAAAATGGTTGAAAATGGCCAGAAATGACCCAAAATTGGACAGAAACGGTCAGAAAATGGCCAGAAATGACCCAAAAATGGTCGAAAATGGGCAAAAACGGACAAAAGCGACCTAGAAATAGCCAAAAACGGGCGAAAATGAACCAAAAATGCTCGAAAACGGCCAGAAATGACCCCAAAATGGTTGAAAACGCCAAAAAATGGATAGAAACGGGCAAAAAATGGCCAGAAATGACCCAAAAATGGTCGAAAACGGGCAAAAATGACCCAGAAACGGGCAAAAACGGTCAAAAAAACAGCAAAAAATGACCCAGAAACGGTCAAAAATTGCCAAAAAATGGACAGAAACGGGCAAAAAAATGGCCAAAAATGACCCAGAAATGGACAAAAACGGCCAGAAATGACACAGAAATGGGCAAAAACGGGCAAAAATGACCCCAAAATGCTCGGAAACGGCCAGAAATGACCCCAAAATGGTCGCAAACGAAAAAAAAAATGGATAGAAACGTTCAAAAAATGGCCAAAAATGACCCAGAAATGGATGAAAACAGCCAAAAAATTGACAGAAACAGTCAAAAATGGCGAAAAACGACCAGAAATGACCCAGAAACGGGCAAAAACGGGCAAAAATGACCCCGAAATGGTTGAAAACGGCCAGAAATGACCCAAAAATGGCCGAAAACTCAAAAAAATGGATAGAAACGGTGAAAAACGGTGTGGCCAAAACTGGACAAAAAACGACCCAGAAAGGGTCAAAAATGGCCCAAAACGTCCCAAAATCAGTCAAAAAAAGACCCCAAAATGAGCAAAATAAGCCAAAACAGCCCAAAATGAGCCCAAAACCCAACCCAACTCAACCCAACTCAACCCAACCCAACCCAACTCAACCCAACCCAAACCCAACTCAACCCAACCCATCCCAACTCAACCCAACCCAACCCAAACTCAACCCAACTCAACCCAAACCAACTCAACCCAACTCAACCCAACTCAACCCAACCCAACCCAACTCAACCCATCCCAATCCAACTCAACCCAACCCAACTCAACCCATCCCAACTCAACCCAACCCAAACCCAACTCAACCCAAACCCAAACCCAACTCAACCCAACCCAACTCAACCCAACTCAACCCAACCCAAACCCAACTCAACCCAACTCAACCCAAACCCAACTCAACCCCAACCCATCCCGACCCCATTCCCAGCCCCACAACCACCTTGAACACGAACATCTCCCCACGGAGCATGGCGATGGTGTCGAAGTTGCCCTCGCAGATGTCGGGGCCATAGGGCGGCCCTGGGGGTCTATGGGGCTTCTCCGTGCTCCGTGGCACCACTGGGGGCCAACTGGGGCCTGCTCGGGTCCCTGTGGGCGCGTCGGGACCCGTTGGCACCCGTTGGGACCCATAGGAGCCCGTTGGGGGTCAATGGGAGCCATAGGACACATTGGCACCCATTGGGACCCATAGGACCCATTGGGACCCATAGGGACCCATTGGCACCCATTTGGACCCATAGGACACATGGGCACCCATAGGACCCATTGGCACCCATTGGGACCCATAGGACCCATTGGCACCCATTGGGACCCATTTGGACCCATAGGACCCATTGGCACCCATAGGACCCATTGGCACCCATTTGGACCCATAGGGACCCATTGGCACCCATTGGGACCCATAGGACCCATTGGCACCCATAGGACACATGGGTACCCATTGGGACCCATAGGGGGTCACTGAGAGCCATAGGACACATTGGCACCCATTGGGACCCATAGGACCCATTGGGACCCATAGGGACCCATTGGGACCCATTGGGACCCATAGGACCCATTGGGACCCATTGGCACCCATAGGGACCTATTGGGACCCGTTGGGGGTCATTGGGACCCATAGGTCCCATTGGCACCCATTGAGACCCATAGGGACCCATAGGAGACATTGGCACCCATTAGGACCCATAGGGACCCACTGGGGGGTCATTGGAAGCTATAGGACCCATAGGGACCCATTGGGACACACTGAGACCCATAGGACCCATTGGCACCCATAGGACCCATAGGGACCCATTGGCACCCATTGGGACCCATAGGACCCGTTGGCACCCATAGGACACATGGGTACCCATTGGGACCCATAGGGGGTCACTGAGAGCCATAGGACACATTGGCACCCATTGGGACCCATTTGGACCCATAGGACCCATTGGCACCCATAGGGACCCATAGGGACCTATTGGGACCCGTTGGGGGTCATTGGGACCCATAGGTCCCATTGGCACCCATTGGGACCCATAGGGACCCATAGGAGACATTGGCACCCATTAGGACCCATAGGGACCCACTGGGGGGTCATTGGAAGCTATAGGACCCATAGGGTTCACTGAGACCCATAGGACCCATTGGCACCCATAGGGACCCATAGGGCCCCATAAGAACCCATTGGGACCCATAGGAACCCATAGGAGGTGTCCATGGCGTTGGTGGCCACCCATTGTCTTGGGACCACCATGGGGTTGACGTAGCCCCATAAGGGCCCCATACAGCCCCATAGGCACCCATAGGGCCCCATAAGACCCATAGGGCCCCATAGGACCCATTGGCACCCCTAGGTCCCCATGCGACCCATAGGACCCATTGGCACCCATAGGACGTGTCCACGGCGTCGATGGCCACCCATTGGGTTGGTGCCACCGTAGCCTTGAGCTAGCCCCGTAAGGACCCCATCGAGCCCCATAGGAGCCCCATAGGAGGTATCTATGGGGCAGGCCCCCCACCGTAGAGCTGCTGGATGCCGCGGCGGTCGTCCTCGGGGAGGGTGAAGGCCTCGGTGTCCATCCATTGGTAGAAGGGGGCCATGATGGCCGAGGGGTCGCTGGAGTGCTCCAGCCCTAGAGCGTGACCCAGCTCGTGGACGGCCACCAGGAAGAGGTCATTGCCTGCAATGGGGCCGATGTGGGTCAATGGAGGGCCTCTATGGGGCGATGGGGGTCTTCCATGGGGTCTCCATGGGTCAAGGAGGGCTTGGGTTGGGGGGGAAGGGGGGCAAGGGGGGTCGAAGATGGGGGGCAAGGGAGGTTATGGGGCGATGGGGGCCCTGAACCACCGCAAAACGACCCAAACCAACCCAAAACCAAACCAAAATCTACCCAAAAGTGACCCAAAACCACCCCAAAACCGACCCAAAATCACCCCAAAACCGACCCAAAACCATCCCAAAACCATCCCAAAACCACCCCAAAACCACCCCAAAACCGACCCAAATCCACCCCAAAACCGACCCAAAACCACCCCAAAACCGACCCAAAACCACCCCCAAACCCCCCCAAAACCACCCCAAAACCACCCCAAAACCGACCCAAATCCACCCCAAAACCGACCCAAAACCACCCCAAAACCGACCTCAAACCACCCAAAAACCGACCCAAAATCACCCCAAAACCGACCCAAAACCACCCCAAAATCAACCCAAAACCACCCCAAAATCACCCCAAAACCGACCCAAAATCAACCCAAAACCACCCCTAAACCGACACAAAACCACCCCAAAACTGACCCAAAACCACCCCAAAATCACCCCAAAACCAACCCAACCCAACCCCATCCCAAAACCCATTGAAACACACCCAAAATCAACCAAAATCGACCCAAAACCACTCCAAACCCACTCAAAACCAACCCACCCCAACCCAACGCAACCCAAATCACCCCAAATCACCCCTAACCCACCCAAAACCATCCCAAACCCAACCCAACTCAACCCAACCCAACTCAACCCAACCCATTCCCAACCCAACCCAACCTAACTCAAACCAACCCAACTCAACCCAACTCAGCCCAACCCAACGCATCCCAACTCAACCCAACCAACCCAACCAACCCAACCCAACTCAACCAACCCAACCCATCCCAACCAAACCAACCCAACTCAACCCAACGCATCCCAACTCAACCCAACCAACCCAACCCAACTCAACCCAACTCAACCAACCCAACTCAACCAACCCAACCCATCCCAACCAAACCAACCCAACTCAGCCCAACGCATCCCAACTCAACCAACCCAACCCAACTCAACCCATCCCAACCCAACCAACCCAACTCAACCCAACTCAACCAACCCAACCAACCCAACCCAACTCAACCAACCCAACCAACCCAACTCAACTCAATCCAACCAACCCAAACCCAACCAACCCAAACCCAACCCAACTCAACCCAAACCCCCCCAAAACCCAACCCAAAACCCCCTTCCCCCCCCCAGCCCCTTCTCACCACTGAGATCCTCGTTGCGATCGGTCCACGGCTCAGCCCCATCGAAATGCGTATCGCCCCCGATATGGGGGCCCGGGAAGTAGGCGTGGGCCAGGAACCCCCCTTCTCCATCGAAGGGGGTGCTGTCGCCGTGGAAACCCTCGGCGAAGAGCACCATGATGTCGGCGTGGGGCGCGCGCCCGGCTCGGATCGCCCCATAGGGAACCTCGCGGAAGCGCAGTGGGGCCGCCGCTGCCCACGCGGCGAAGGCCCGGCGGATGGCTGCCCCCGTGCCCGCCTCGCCCACCTTGGGGGTGAAGTTCTGGATGCTGGGGGGAGGGGGGGGGAACAGCCATTGGGGTCGATGGGGGACCAATGGGGTGCATTGGGATCGATGGGGAGTCGTTGGGGTCGATGGGGAGCCGTTGGGGTCAATGGGGAGGCAATGGGATCAATGGGGAGCCATTGGGAACGGCAATGGGATCGATGGGGAGCCATTGGGAATGGGAATAGGATCGATGGGGAGCCAATGGAATCGATGGGGAGCCAATGGGGTCAATGGGGAGCCATTGGGAATGGCAATGGGATCAATGGGGAGCCACTGGGGTCGATGGAGAGCCATTGGGAATGGCAATGGGGTCGATGGGGAGCCATTGGGAATGGGAATAGGATCAATGGGGAGCCAATGGGATCGATGGGGAGCCATTGGGGTCAATGGGGAGCCATTGGGAATGGCAATGGGATCGATGGGGAGCCATTGGGAACGGCAATGGGATCAATGGGGAGCCAATGGGATCGATGGGGAGCCATTGGGGTCAATGGGGAGCCAATGGGAATGGCAATGGGGTCGATGGGGAGCCAATGGGATCGATGGGGAGCCAATGGGGTGCATTGGGATCGATGGGGAGTCGTTGGGGTCAATGGGGAGCCAAAGGGAATGGCAATGGAATCAATGGGGAGCCATTGGGAATGGCAATGGGATCAATGGGGAGCCACTGGGGTCGATGGAGAGCCATTGGGAATGGCATTGGGAGCGATGGGGCGCCATTGGGGTCAATGGGGAGCCAATAGGGTCATTGGGAGCCATTGGGAATGGCAATGGGATCAATGGGGAGCCATTGGGATCGATGGGGAGCCAATGGGATCAATGGGGAGCCATTGGGAATGGCAATGGGATCGATGGGGAGCCATTGGGAATGGGAATAGGATCAATGGGGAGCCAATGGGATCGATGGGGAGCCATTGGGGTGCATTGGGATCAATGGGGAGTCGTTGGGGTCGATGGGGAGCCATTGGGAATGGCAATGGGGTCGATGGGGAGCCATTGGGAACGGCAATGGGATCGATGGGGAGCCATTGGGAATGGCAATGGGATCAATGGGGAGCCATTGGGAACGGCAATGGGATCGATGGGGAGCCATTGGGAATGGCAATGGGGTCGATGGGGAGCCAATGGGATCGATGGGGAGCCAATGGGATCAATGGGGAGCCATTGGGAATGGCAATGGGATCAGTGGGGAGCGTTTGGGATCGATTGGGAGTCATTGGGATGCAGTGGGATCCATTGGGATCAATCCATCGGAATCCCACTGGAACCCATTGGAACCCATCGGAATCCTATTGGATCCCATTGGAACCCATTGGAATCCTATTGGGTCCCACTCGAACCCATTGGAATCCTATTGGGTCCCACTGGAACCCATTGGAATCTTATTGGATCCCATTAGAACTCACTGGAATCCTATTGTATCCCATTGGAACCCATCATAATCGCATTGGAACCCATTGGAATCCTATTGGAACCCATTGGAATCCCATCGGAATCCCAATAGAACCCATCAAAACCCATCAGATCCCATCGGAATCCCATTGGAACCCATCGAAATCCCATTGGAACCCATCAAAATCCCATTGGAATCCCATTGGAACCCATCAGAATCCCATTGGAACCCATCAGAACCCATTGGAACCCACCAGAACCCATTGGAACCCATCGGAATCCCATTGGAACCCATCAGAACCCATCAGATCCCATCGGAATCCCATTGGAACCCATCGAAATCCCATTGGAACCCATCAAAATCCCATTGGAATCCCATTGGAACCCATCAGAACCCCATTGGAACCCATTGGAACCCCATCGGATCCCATTAGAATCCCCTTGGAACCCCATTGGCCCCCCCTCACCTGAAGGTGATCTCCTGCTGGTCCCACTTCATGCCCTGGATGGCGAAGCGCCGGCGCCGCACGTTGGCTTTGAGCTCGGGGCCGAACTTATCCGGAACGCCGCAACGGGGCCGGCGCATGGCCCTGTGGAGGAGAAGGGAGACCTCCAGCACCAACGATGATCCAATTGGAAGGCGCCGAACCCAACATCCATCAACTCGGAAGCCCCATAACCCATCGGGACCCTCCGAGAAGCCAACTGGAAGGCCCAAAACCCAACTGGAAGGCCCAAAACCCAACTGGAAGGCCCAAAAATCCAGTTGGAAGCCTCCTAAAGGCAACGATGATCCAACTGGAAGACCTCGAACCCAACATCCGTCAACTCGGAAGCCCCATATCCCATTGGAAGCCCCCAAGAACCCAACTGGAAGGCCCAAAAGCCGAAGACGATCCCTTTAGAGCCCCCGTAACCCAACACTGATCCACTTGGAAGACCTCAAACCCAATGATAAGCCAACTGAAAGCCCCATATCCCATTGGAACCCCTCAAGAACCCAACTGGTAGACCCAAAACCCAACTGGAGCCCAACTGGAAGACCCAAAACCCAACCGGAGTCCAACTGGAAGACCCCAGACCCAACCGGAGCCCAACTGGAAAGCCCAAAACCCAACTGGAGCCCAACTGGAAGACCCAAAACCCAACTGGAGCCCAACTGGAAGACCCAAAACCCAACTGGAAGACCCAAAACCCAACTGGAGCCCAACTGGAAGACCCAAAAACCAACCGGAGTCCAACTGGAAGACCCAAAACCCAACTGGAAGACCCAAAACCCAACCAGAGCCCAACTGGAAAGCCCAAAACCCAACTGAAGACCAACTGGAAGACCCCAAACCCGACCGGAACCCAACTGGAAGACCCCAAACCCAACCGGAACCCAACTGGAAGACCCGGAACCCAACTGGAGACCAACTGGAAGACCCAAAACCCAACTGGAAGACCCAAAACCCAACTGGAGCCCAACTGGAAGACCCAAAACCCAACTGAAAGACCCAAAACCCAACCGGAAGGCCCAAGACCCAACTGGAAGACCCAAAACCCAACCGGAAGCCCTCCAAACCCAACGATGATCCAATCGGAAGACCCCCAAACCCAACAACGACCCATCTGGAAGCCCCATAACCCATTGGAACCCCCCCCAATGTAACGCACCGGATGGTTTCGGGGTCGGCGCGGGCGGTGACGCGCAGCCCGTAGAGGCGCTGCATGGCAGCGTAGGCGGCCGGTAGCGAGTGTGGGGAGCGCTGCGCCTGCACCCGCAGGTCGCCGGGGGGCAGGTACCCGTACTGCTGCAGCCAGGCCTGGGGGAAGCCCAATAGTAACCCGTGAGCGGGCGTCATCCATCCCATAGTAACCCATCAGCATCCGTTATCCAGGGGTGTTGTCCATCCCATAACAAGCCATCAACAGCCATGATCCGTCACCGTCCATCCCATCATAACCCGTCAGAACACATCGGCACCCGTTATCCATCAGCATCCATCCCGTAATAAGCCATCACCATCATCACCTTCATCATCATCATCATCATCCACCCCGTAATAAGCCCTTCATAACCCATCAGCACCCATTACCCATCACCGTCCATCCCATAATGACCCATTATCATCATCGTCATCACCATCCATCCCATAATGACCCATTATCATCATCGTCATCACCATCCATCCCATAATGACCCATTATCATCATCGTCATCACCATCCATCCCATAATGACCCATTATCATCATCGTCATCACCATCCATCCCATAATGACCCATTATCATCATCGTCATCACCATCCATCCCATAATGACCCATTATCATCATCGTCATCACCATCCATCCCATAATGACCCATTATCATCATCGTCATCACCATCCATCCCATAATGACCCATTATCATCATCGTCATCACCATCCATCCCATAATGACCCATTATCATCATCGTCATCACCATCCATCCCATAATGACCCATTATCATCATCGCCATCACCATCCATCCCATAATAACCCATCATCACCACCATCCATCCCATAATGACCCATTATCACCATTGTCACCACCACCATCCATCCCATAATGACCCATCATCATCATTGTCACCACCATCCATCCCATAATAACCCATTACCATCACCATCCATCCCATAATGACCCATTATCATCATTGTCATCATCACCATCCATCCCATAATAACCCATCATCATCATCATCATCACCCATCCCATAATAACCCACTATCATCACTATCCATCCCATAATAAACCATTATCACCATCACCATCACAATCCATCCCATAATAACCCATTATCATCACCATCCATCCCATAATAACCCATCACCACCACCCTCCATCCCATAATGACCCATCATCATCACCATCCATCCCATAATAACCCATTATCATCACCCTCCATCCCATAATAACCCATCATCATCACCATCCATCCCATAATAACCCATTATCATCACCATCCATCCCATAATAAACCATTATCATCACTATCCATCCCATAATAACCCATCATCACCACCCTCCATCCCATAATAACCCATCACCACCACCCTCCATCCCATAATACCCCATCACCAGCATCACCCCACCCCAAACGCCCCATAGGGACCCCAATGGCCCCCTATGGGGCCCCTAAGTACCCCATAGAGACCCATAAGGGGCGTTTAAGAGCGTTTAAGGGCGTTTAAGAGCGTTTAAGAGCGTTTAAGGGCGTTTAAGGGCGTTTAAGGGCGTTTAAGGGCGTTTAAGAGCGTTTAAGGGCGTTTAAGAGCGTTTAAGGGGCGTTTAAGAGCGTTTAAGAGCGTTTAAGAGCGTTTAAGGGCGTTTAAGGGCGTTTAAGGGCGTTTAAGGGCGTTTAAGGGCGTTTAAGAGCGTTTAAGAGCGTTTAAGGGCGTTTAAGGGCGTTTAAGGGCGTTTAAGGGCGTTTAAGGGCGTTTAAGGGCGTTTAAGGGCGTTTAAGGGGCGTTTAAGGGCGTTTAAGGGCGTTTAAGGGCGTTTAAGGGCGTTTAAGGGCGTTTAAGGGCGTTTAAGGGCGTTTAAGGGCGTTTAAGGGGCGTTTAAGGGCGTTTAAGGGCGTTTAAGGGCGTTTAAGGGCGTTTAAGGGCGTTTAAGGGCGTTTAAGAGAGTTTAAGGGCGTTTAAGGGCGTTTAAGGGCGTTTAAGGGCGTTTAAAGGGCGTTTAAGGGCGTTTAAAGGGCGTTTAAGGGCGTTTAAGGGCGTTTAAGGGCGTTTAAGGGCGTTTAAGGGCGTTTAAGGGCGTTTAAGGGCGTTTAAGGGCGTTTAAGAGCGTTTAAGAGCGTTTAAGGGCGTTTAAGGGCGTTTAAGGGCGTTTAAGGGCGTTTAAGAGCGTTTAAGGGCGTTTAAGGGCGTTTAAGAGCGTTTAAGGGCGTTTAAGGGCGTTTAAGGGCGTTTAAGGGCGTTTAAGGGCGTTTAAGGGCGTTTAAGGGCGTTTAAGAGCGTTTAAGGGCGTTTAAGGGCGTTTAAGGGCGTTTAAGGGCGTTTAAGGGCGTTTAAGGGCGTTTAAGGGCGTTTAAGAGCGTTTAAGGGCGTTTAAGGGCGTTTAAGGGCGTTTAAGAGCGTTTAAGGGCGTTTAAGGGCGTTTAAGGGCGTTTAAGGGCGTTTAAGGGCGTTTAAGGGCGTTTAAGGGCGTTTAAGGGCGTTTAAGGGCGTTTAAGGGCGTTTAAGGGCGTTTAAGGGCGTTTAAGGGCGTTTAAGGGCGTTTAAGAGCGTTTAAGGGGCGTTTAAGGGCGTTTAAGGGCGTTTAAGGGCGTTTAAGGGCGTTTAAGGGCGTTTAAGGGCGTTTAAGGGCGTTTAAGGGGCGTTTAAGGGCGTTTAAGGGGGGTTTAAGAGCGTTTAAGGGGGCTTTAAGGGCGTTTAGGAGCATTTAAGGGCGTTTAAGAGAGTTTAAGGGCGTTTAAGGGCGTTTAAGGGCGTTTAAGGGCGTTTAAGAGCTTTTAAGGGGCGTTTAAGGGCGTTTAAGGGCGTTTAAGAGCGTTTAAGGGGCGTTTAAGGGCGTTTAAGGGCGTTTAAGAGCGTTTAAGGGCGTTTAAGGGCGTTTAAGAGCGTTTAAGGGGGCTTTAAGGGCGTTTAAGGGCGTTTAAGGTGGGTTTAAGGGCGTTTAAGAGCTCTTAAGGGGGGGTTTAAGGGGTTTAAGGGCGTTTAAGGGCGTTTAAGGGCGTTTAAGGGCGTTTGAGAGTTTAAGGGGCGTTTAAGGGAGTTTAAGTGGGCGTTTAAGGGGGTTTAAGGGCGTTTGCGTTTAAGGAGGCTTTAAATGCGTTTAAGGGGGCTTAAGGGCGTTTAAGGGGGGTTTAAAAGCATTTAAGGGGCGTTTAAGGGGGGTTTAAGGGCGTTTAAGGGGGGTTTAAGGGCGTTTAAGAGCGTTTAAGGGGGCTTTAAGGGCGTTTAAGGGCGTTTAGGAGCGTTTAAGGGGGTTTTAAGAGCGTTTAAGAGGGCTTAAGGGCGTTTAAGGGGGGTTTAAGTGCGTTTAAGGGGGCTTAAGGGGGGTTTAAGAGCGTTTAAGGGGGGGTTATGGGCGTTTAAGAGCTTTTAAGGGGGCTTATGGGCGTTTAAGGGGGGTTTAAGAGCGTTTAAGGGCGTTTAAGGGGGCTTAAGGGCATTTAAGAGCGTTTAAGGGGGGTTTAAGAGCATTAAGGGGGGGGTTTAAGAGCTTTTAAGGGGGTTTAAGGGGGCTTAAGGGGGGTTTAAGAGTGTTTAAGGGGGCTTTAAGTGCGTTTAAGGGGGCTTAAGAGCATTTAAGGGGTGTTTATGAGCGCTTAAGGACGTTTAAGGGGTGGGTTAAGGGCGTTTAAGGGGGGTTTAAGGGCGTTTAAGAGCGTTTAAGGGGGTTTAAGTGCATTTAAGGGGGCTTAAGGGCGTTTAAGGGGCGTTTAAGAGCATTTAAGGGGGGTTTAACAGCGTTTAAGGGGGGTTTTAGGGCGTTTAAGAGCTTTTAAGGGGGGTTTAAGGGGGCTTAAGGAGCATTTTAGAGCGTTTAAGGGGGGTTTAAGGGCGTTTAAGGGCGTTTAAGGGGGGTTTAAGAGCGTTTAAGAGCATTTAAGGGGGGTTTAAGAGCGTTTAAGGGCGTTTAAGGGGGGTTTAAGGGGGCTTAAGGAGCATTTAAGAGCGTTTAAGAGCGTTTAAGGGGGGTTTAAGAGCGTTTAGGAGCGTTTAAGGGGGTTTAAGAGCGTTAAGGGGGGGGTTTAGGGCGTTTAAGAGCTTTTAAGGGGGGTTTAAGGGCGTTTAAGAGCTTTTAAGGGGGTTTAAGGGGGGGTTAAGGGCGTTTAAGGGGGGTTTAAGAGCGTTTAAGGGGGGTTTAAGGGCGTTTAAGAGCGTTTAAGGGGGGTTTAAGGGCGTTTAAGAGCTCTTAAGGGGGGGTTTAAGGGGGCTTAAGTGGGGTTTAAGAGCGTTTAAGGGGCGTTTAAGGGGGGTTTAAGGGCGTTTAAGAGCGTTTAAGGGGGGTTTAAGAGCGTTTAAGGGGGGGTTTAGGGCGTTTAAGAGCGTTTAAGGGGGGTTTAAGGTGGCTTAAGGGGGGTTTAAGAGCGTTTAAGGGGGGGTTATGGGCGTTTAAGGGCGTTTAAGGGCATTTAAGAGCTTTTAAGGGGGTTTAAGGGGGCTTAAGGGGGGGTTAAGGGGTTTAAGAGCGTTTAAGGGGGGTTTAAGACCATTTAAGGGGGGTTTAAGGGCGTATAAGAGCGTTTAAGGGGGCTTTAAGTGCGTTTAAGGGGGCTTAAGGGCATTTAAGAGCGTTTAAGGGGGGGTTAAGAGCTTTTAAGGGCGTTTAAGGGGGGTTTAAGGGCGTTTAAGGGGGCTTTAAGTGCGTTTAAGGGGGCTTAAGGGCATTTAAGAGCTTTTAAGGGGGGGTTAAGGGGGGGTTTAAGAGCGTTTAAGGGGGGGTTAAGGGCGTTTAAGGAGGTTTAAGAGTGTTTAAGGGGGTGCTAAGGGGATTTAAGAGCTTTTAAGGGGGGTTTAAGAGGGCTTAAGGAGCATTTAAGAGCGTTTAGGAGCGTTTAAGAGCGTTTAAGGGGGGTTTAAGGGCGTTTAAGGGGGCTTAAGGAGCGTTTAAGAGCGTTTAAGGGGGTTTAAGAGCTTTTAAGGGGGGTTTAAGGGGGGGTTTAAGAGCGTTTAAGAGCGTTTAAGGGGGGTTTAAGAGCGTTTAAGAGCTTTTAAGGGGGTTTAAGGGGGCTTAAGGGGGGTTTAAGAGCGTTTAAGGGGGGGTTATGG